TCCTCCTTCCTTTCCCAGGTGGGGGAAGGTGAAATCAAAGGTGAGGGGTAAAGAGTGAAACTCTCTTCTCCTATGAGAGGGGTTAACATACCCTCTTGACTCAAGGGATGTGAGCGGGAGAAAGGAGTGACCAGGGTTGTAAGGAGGAGTTTCAAAACTCCTTAATGGTCAATCCAAGATATTTTTAGCTGTTCTAACTTTTCCCTGTAACCTCCATGAAGGAGGATTGAGGGGTGTAGAAGGAAGGGAGTAAGTAAGCCTCAGGGTACCAAAAAGCAACTGCAGTTTTCCCTAATTCTCTAGCACTAAGAGAATTAACAGAATTGGGCATACACTTCCAGATAGGGTATCCATCCTTGTCTTCTGTGCTGCAAAAGGTGTACTCAGGTACATGGCCTTGAACCAACCCAGTGGACCAAGAGCCTGAGAGCATCAGGCCAAGTGCAAGACAGCCTTGTAACTGTCTGCCTGAAAAGCACCTCCAAGCCTTGGTGTGTGGAGAGTGACCCCAACTACAGAGCAAGAAAGGAGGGGGGGTGTAGGCTTGTATACCTTCCAGTCTTGGCTGGAGAAGAACTTGGGGTTAGACAGTTTCCCTGTACAGGCCACCAAAATGATGAGGTTTATGGTCTTAGGGGTACTGGGACCCCAATATCACAACACGCTGATCCTGCCCGAAAGAATTCGACCCAAGCCTTCTTTCAGGCAAAGACAAGGTTTATTAGAACATCTGTCATATTGGGCAGACTCTTAAGGAATCTGAACATTAGTAATCTATTGGCTAGATTCTAAGAATCTGAGCAGTGGCTAGATTTTAAGAATATAAGCCCTTGCCTAGATTATAAGAATCTGGGCCCTGGTCTTCTTTCAGATGTAAGATCACATTGGTGCCCCTGCCAATAGACTCACCATGGTCAGCATGGACTGTGAAAGAGCTACCAGCAGAAGACTCCCAGGCATACTGTTCATCACCATTGTGCTTGGTGATGACAGCTACCTTCTCTGCCACCAAGTAAGCAGAATAGAAACCCACACCAAACTGACCCATCGTGGAGATGTCTGCTCCAGCCTGCAAAGCCTCCATGAAAACCTTGGTGCCAGACTTGGCAATGATTCCCAAGTTATTGATCAAATCAGCTTTTGTCATGCCAATGCTAGTATCCACCAAAGTCAGAGTATGCTCCTAAGGGTTGGGGATGATGTCAATCTTCAGCTCTTTACCACTGTCCAATTTGGAAGGATCTGTCAGACTCTCATAGCAGATCTTGTCCAGGGCATCACAGGCATTGGAAATGATCTCTTGAAGGAAGCTTTTCTTATTAGAATAAAAGGTATTGATAATCAATGACATAAGCTAGACAATCTCTGCCTGGAAGACAAAGGTCTCCACCTCCTCCTCTCTATGCTGTACTTCCTCAGGTATCTGAGTGGTTGTGGAGAAGAAAGCTGGTTCAAGGAAGTGCTGAGTCCAGTGGCTCCAAAGACCAGGTACCATGAGGAGCTTGGTATTCCTTTCTGTTCTTTAGGATATTACCATATAACAATAGAGAGAGCTTACTGAGGGGGAGGGAAGAGGGTAGAATATACAGGGAAGATGGTTCTTCAATGGCTCTTACGAAAAGAGGTGCTATTACCCTACATATTTTTGTTATGGTCACAGAATCACAGAATCTTACCTCCGCTACCCTCAAAGGGAGTCATAGCTTAGATTTCATTACCCTAACTGTGCTACCTCTATGAGCTTGCACTTGCAATCTGAAATTCTCCTTCTTGATCATAATTTCTAATCTTTTTAATTTTTTCTGCTTTACTCCTCCTAAGCCTATTATTAAAACCAAAATGTTTATTGATGTTTTTCTATGTCATAATCCTTTCTAGATATTTCTATCTACCCCTACTTCCATCCTGCCCACATAGAGTAAAAATCTTCATTTTAAAAAAGAAAAATTTAAACTCATACATGGAGAAGCCTCTCCATGTCGATTTACGATAAGCCTCCATGTCTACATATGGTACCTGAGAAAATTCTCATTGTGCCCACCCACCCCAATCATTGTCATTTCACAATGTTTTTGTACAGGTGAATTTCAAGAAAAGTACCGAAAGGAAAAAGAAATCACAAAATATGGAGCCTAAGGGAAATGTAGGAAGGGAGCAGGAGTAGTGCCACTTAGATGCCTTGGTGACCCAGGTTGTAGAACATATGTATAGGTTGATTATATAGAACCTTGAGGATCCAGAAGTACCATGAGCCCTAGACACCAGAACCTGTGTGCATGCTTATGTGTGGAGTAGCTTATGGGTTTACTTCATCTCTCCACCCTCTTAGGTGAGACTACAGAGATGGAACCAACCATGAGCTCAGTCCAAGTCTAGCAATGTGATTACTAAATATTTACTGACCCATATTTCAGGCCAGAAATCTCTGCCCACCACTCCTTGGGGTTTGGAAAAAGCTGATGATGCTGTCCCCACACTGACACTATATTCAATTATCAAAGGACTCTAGAATGTGGGGGCCCTGATCAACTGGTTCTACCCTAATCCAATATCTGGAAAAATCCCACCTCCTGTTCCTTTATCCCTGTGTTTTAGGGTTGCCATCTTTGAGGGCAGAAATCCTTTGCCCTGGTTCCTTGCACTCCCATCCCCATTCACCTCAATCCTTCCCCTCCATACTCCTTAACCTTCTCTGCCCTCCTATTCCTTTCTGTCTATTCTATTTCAATGGGATTTGGGGGGAAGAGGGAAAGACACGTTCTCTTTTGTAACCTTCCAAACACCTTCTGAAAGCTTGAAGCACAGTAAGTTATGACCACCATAGCATGGACTCTAGTTGGAGGAAATGCTTGCAATATATCTAATGGAAAGCTGAGTACAAACTGTCCTAAGAAAGATGAGACATGGGAAGATTTGAACAAAGTACCAGAAAAGAGAAAAATGGAAAATGAATATGGAGTCAGGAAGCTGTTCTGCATCTGCCTGCAGGTAAGTGGCACAAAGGATAGAACACTGGGTCCTGAGCCAAGAAGATATGAGTTCAAATCCAGCTGCTATCCAACCCTGGACATGTCTCACTTAACCTCTCCTTGCCTCAGTTTATCCAACTGTAAAATGGAGATTACAAAGTACACCTACCTTCCAGGGTTTTGAGGATTAAATGAGATAATATTTGTAAAGTGCTTAGTACAATATCTGGTAAGCTTCCACCTTCCTAATTTCCCACCTCTCTGCCAAGAGGAGGGAGGCAGAAGAAATGTCCAAAGAAATGATGTTGACTTTGACTCAGAGATGATGGAAAAGTGCATGGAGAACACAGTTTGTAATATGTTACATATGATGGAATTATTCAAGAGAAATATCATAAAGAATATTACCGATAACACATTTGATCAGAAAATACGAAGTTACATAGCAAACGGAGGGACAATCCATAGAAAATGCATGTGCTCCCCTGGTATCCATGCTGCAAGAGGAGAACATGAGGAAGACCTCCAGAATGTTGGGCAGGCATGGATGAGTACTATGGGATGGAAAGGAATCAATCTGCCTGCAGTGGCCTGAATCCTATTGGCAGGAGTATCAACATTGATGAGATCATCAATCCACTAATGTATTGGAAGCAAATGAATACTAATGATAATGATAATAAAAATAATAACATTTAATAAAATACTTGAAGGTTTGCAAGGCAATATACATTTATTATGTCATTTGATTCTCATAAGAACCCTATGAAGAATGTGTTTTTGAGGTTGAGAGAGGTTAAGGAACTTATAGAGTCACACAACTTTGGGATAAACTAGAAGACTCCATAGTTGACTCAAATAGGCATTCCATTAACAGCCATATGTAGTAGTTGCTGAGAGGTAGAATAAAAGGACATGGGGATGAATACTGGCTTTGCTGCTTCCTACCTATGTGACCCTGTCACCTTACCTCTCTGAGCTCCAGTTTCCATAGCCATAATACAAGAGCATTAGATTCAATGACCACTAAGGTCCCTTTTTATGGACATGCTCTGAGGCTTGTGAGAGCCAGATTATTAAATGTTCATTGTGAGCATTTATACCTTGGAAATCAGCAAACCTTTCAAATCAGGGCTTGCTTTATTGTTTGGTTGATTTTCTAGATTTAAGAAAGTAATAGAGAAAATGTTAGTAATGCAGATTTAATTTAATGTTGTGGCCCTGGAGAAGGATCTGAGCTCAAATCCAGCATCAGCCACTTACTAGCTGTATGACCTGGGCAAGTCACTTAACCCTGATTGCCTCCAAAAAAAAAAGTGTGTTGTGGGTGTATTGTTGGTTTGATTTGGTTTTTTTTTTCCCTTCCAAAGAGCCAGTTGTTAAATATTTACCAGCAAGCCCCTAAACATTTTAAAATTGTAGATTTCTGACCCTAAGAAATAGGAGGACAGTATTTCTGTGATTTAAGTCAGCCTTAAAGCAGCAAAACCCAGCTTATGGGTAATCTTTTGAAAAGAGGAATAAAAAGTATTGAAAGCAGCTCAGTGCTTAGGGGCTTTTTCCTTTTGTTTCTTTCTGACAAAGCTGATTGAAAGAACTGTCTTAAAACAGACTTCCATGTTTGTGTTGTTGCTTTATAACATTTATTGTATATCTGGTACCACTGGAGTTCTTGCTCTTTCAATATAACATTAACAATAGAAAGAAGCACTATGTAACTTTTTTCTAATTAAATGACTCAGCAATGACATTGATGGCATCATTTTTTATAACAGTATTCTATGACCTACTTGAATGTAATTTTTTTCTTTGTATTATTTATATTTAATAAAAATAGTCTTTTAAGGAGGCATTTTATGTTATCTAGAATTTATTTTACTTGCAAAGTAACATCAACTAGTATTACATTGAAAATAAACAACCTCTACCTACTACAAAGCAAAAAGTTGTTTCTATCAATAAGGGATCAAAGCAAAAATTTCAAATAACAACTGTGAAAGTCACAGCTGATGTAGCATTTGCTTTGAGCTAAATTGGAAATTGGTGGTAGGGGAGAGAGAGAGAGAGAGAGAGAGAGAGAGAGAGCTAAGCAGTACAGCCCCTCTAAAGAAGTCACTGGGCATAGGCTTGAATGAATTGAATAAAGAATCTGAGCATATAAAATTTCGCTTTTCCAGTTCTGATGCAAGGGGCACCAAATACATACCATGATTATTGATCTCCCCCTGCCACAAGAACAACAATCAGACACACCAGAGAAATCAATACCAACTCCTTAACTGTGCCAAAGTATTTGAGATGCATAAAAGAGCAGGCTAGTTACAAAAAATAAATGGATATGGTGCATGAAAATAGCTGTTCTTAACCAGAGGCATTGGCCCTGTGACTTCCCAGTATGATTTATAAAAATACTGATGAACTCAAATTTTGCCATTTCACTTTCCTATTTAATTCTGGGAATGATAAAGAGAGAATTTTTTATACTTAAAAAAGTCACCATTTGGAAATGGTTAGCTTAGTATCTTCTGGTTTTTCCGAAAATGTTCTGTCAGAGGTGATCTGGCTATTTCTGGGGTGGCAGCTTGATAGAAGTTAGGTAACCGGATGTCATAGCGATGGCCTTTCCCCATATGTACCCTGTCATTCAAGGCATAGAGTTTGTCAGCAATATCACTGCCAATTAAAACAGAAAACAGGCGGGAGATGAAACGATGCTGAGCAAAGAGCAAATACAGTTTCTTTCGCCTCCAAGCCACATACCGACAGTCTGTCTCTGCTGTGAGGGTTACCTGCAAAATATAAGACCATGAACAAACAGATTAAAGGAACCAAATATAAACACAGGCAGCCTCTGTCTTTGTGGATAGCATTTGAATTGGTTTTTTGACGTCAGAAAAGAAAACCATGCTACCATTTTATTTCCTCTATTCTCCATTTAATTCCCTTTTAAATCTCAGGATAGAATTTGGTAATCTACAACATATTCCAAAAGTGTGTGTGTGTGTGTGTGTGTGTGTGTGTGTGTGTGTGTGTGTGTGTGTATCTGTGTGTTTATTATGTATGTGGGCAGGGGGAGTGTAGTTATGAATTGTTAAGTATCCAAAATGACTGCAGCTACTGAGAATTTAATAAGATGCCCTGTGTTTTAGAGGCTTCTGGCCCTTTTGAGATTTAAAACCATGGATCCCAACCTCTGGGCTACAGAATTATCAGGCCTGTGAATCCACATGAGAATCCATAAATAGGCAAATACACCTTCTCTACACTGAATACATAATGTCTTGTATATTTTTCAAATATATGTAGATGCTATTATGATTAATATGTATATATAATATATAAAATGACAGAAATATAAGATGGAATCAGTTATGTCTTTAAGTGAATTTATGTTTTGTTATATATTTATTGTATCATATATTATATTATAATATACATTGTGTGTATATATATATTTCCAAACAGCAGATGCTAATAGTATAACTATCATGAGGTGGGGGGAGAGGTGGGGAGGCAATTGGTGAAATTTAGAATTAAAGGGTCCTTGTCAAATAAATTGTATTATGTTGCTAAAAATAAGTACCATAATGTAATTAAGACTGAAAATGATGAGAAATATAAATGTAGAAAGATTTTTATGAAATAAGACAAAGTGAAAAATGGAAACCTGGAATACACTAGCTACAATCATATAAGAGAGGAGTGGATAGGAATAAATGAATAAACAAAGAATTCTGATGGAGAGTTAAAGGAAGTGACTAAAATGTTCTGATGCTATTTTATGTATTAAAATTTATTTTTAAAAATACGTAAATTATTACAAAGCAAGTTTAATAGGTTTTACTGATGTCCAGTATTGTTTAAAATAAAACCTTCTTGAGGCAGCTAGGTGGAGCAGTAGAGAGTGCTCGGCCTGAATCAGGAGGAGCTGTGTTCAAATCCAGCCTCAGACACTTACTAGCTGTGTGACGCCAGGCAAGTCACTTAACCCAAATTGCCTCCAAAACCAAACAAACAAACAAAGCAAAAACAATAAAATAAAACTATCTTAAAGTCTGTATTTTTGGATGCCCTCATTCTGGACACAAAATACCATAGGTAGATTATACAAAAGGGTATGTTTCAGATATGAAACCATAGAAATAAAAGTAAAACCTAATGATGGGACCTACTTCACAATTAACTTTCAAAATAACTAGATACAATAGAGCCAAACAGATAATTTTTCATTATGCCCAAGAAAATGACACTTCCTAGAAAACACAAAATGACCTCCCTTCTAGCAATAAACATGTCTTTGAATTTTAGTTCATTTCTAAAATGTCCCACTAATGAATTTCAAAGTCTGATAATTGTCCTCCAATCACTTTAAAAGTACAGCCTGAATTAAACACAGTCTGATTATTTAAAACAATTTTTCAAATTTGTCATTAGTTTCTTCCTATCATATGCAATTGTATTCCATAGCTGTAGTCAGTTTCATATGTGTTCATGTATTATAAATTTGAGCTGGGCATAATTAGAAAAGCAAATCTCATTTTCTTTTAAAAGAAAGACACTACACATTAAGTATAAACTAGTTAAAATGAATGATTTTTGTACTATTTTTCTCTTTTACATTTTCTTATTTGTCCATAATCCAGAGAATTGAGTGCTACTATGTAGTTCATTTATGCTTTACCTGAAAAATGCCCTCCTCTGTGGGTCTAAGTGAATCCCATTCAGGAGAATCCAGGAATTGAAGGGGGAAAATGTAATGCAGAAACTCTCCATCCACCGTCACTCTGATCCTACACCAAGTAGAATGGCCATGAATTGTACAATTATAAGAAAAAGCCATGCATTGTGCAATTATAAGAAAAAGCCATCCTAATACTAGGAGAACTTTGGATCTTCTCACCATTTTCATACCAACCCAAGACTCTCTCTCCATCCACACAAGAGGTGGAGTGCATACATTAATGATAATCAACAAGCATTTATGAAGTGACTACTACATGCCAGGCACTATGCATCCAAAGACAAAGAATAAAACAGTCCCTTCTCTCAAAGAACTGATCTGAATAATTATATATTCAAGCAGACTTCAAATTAATGGTCACATTTCAAAGTTTCATGTGTAAATTCATTGTGTGGAACAAGCAACACATTTTTTCTCATAGCAAAGCAGTGATAAATTATAATTAAGTCCCCACGTCAACACACAAGGGCTTAAATGTGCCTTAAGTTCAGGACCATACCAATATGGAAGGGGGGAAGCACTGTATGGAGCAATGTTTCTGTAGGGAGGAAGTATTCACAGAGTCATTTTGGGAGCCCAGGAACATATCTTCAGCATAAGCAGTATAAGGCCAAGCTACAATTGGTATGGGACAGCCAGGACTCTGTCTCAGATGCTGACATCCTAAAGCGATACAATTCTTTCCCTCTGGGGTGGAGCATGATTTCCTCCCCTGTTCATTGCCAGATCTCTGCTGGTGCTGTGGCAATTAGGACATTGGATAGCTCACTGCTGATTGTTCACACCTGGTAGATTAGGAGCAGGCAACTAGGTGGTGCAATGGATAGAGGACTAGAGCCAGAGTCAGGAGGATTCATCTTCCTGAGTTCAAATCCAGCCTCATACACTGACTAGCTGTGTGACACTGGGTAAGTCACTTAGCCCTGTTTGCCTTAGTTTTCCTATCTGTAAAATAAGCTAGATTAGAAAATGTCAAACCATTCCAGTATCTATCTTTGCCAACAAAACCTCAAATGGGTTTACAGAAAGTAAGACATGACTGAAGACAACTGAATAATAACAAAAGATTAGGAGGGGAAAGTACAGAAGAAAGGGTAATGCTTAAGGTCCTTATAAAAAGAAAGGGGGACAATCTCTAAGGTGTTTGGGGCAAACAATTTTTTTGTTGTTGTTATAAGCCAGGGAAATCACAAATAATAATTTCTAACTTCATACAGACAAGGATTTGCAAAGCATTTTACATTATCTTATTTGGTCCTTACAACAACCCTATGAGGTAAAGTACTGTAAGTTTTGTTAACCTGCTTCCTAGATGAGGGAATTGAGGCTAGGCAAAGTTAAGAGGCTTACCTATGGTAACATAGCAAAACCAGGGGCTGGTTTTGAACTCTCCTGACCCTAAAGTTCACCACAATTTCCATTATACCACACTGCTTTCTCAAATAAGAGAGAATTTCAGTTTTTGGAGGTATTAAGGGCAAGGAAATTATTTTTGTAACCTGCAGAGACTGCCTGTTTCAGGTTTGTGTTTCTTTTACACACCATCAATAAGTTGTTATTGTTCACTAGTTTCAGTCTTGTCTGACTTTTCTTGACCCAATTTGGGGTTTTCTTGGCAAAGATACTGGAGTGATTTGCCATTTCTTCTCCACCTTGTTTTATAGATGAGGAAACTGAGGCAAATGAGGTTAAGTTACTTGCCCAGGGTCATACAGCTAGTAAGTGTCTGAGGCCAGATTTGAACTTGTGAAGATGAGTCTTCCTGACCCTAGGCCTAGGACCTGCCATCAATAAATATGTGGACATTAAATTCAAACTAGTCTTGGTGAGGGATAAAAGGGGTGGAAGAATACCCCTCTGTTCCCTAGTATTCCAGGAAAAGTGGAGTGATCCATTAATGGGGGCATCTGTTATTGGCTCCAGAGAAGAAGAGTTGCGCCAGGTAATTCTCTGAAAAGAGGTATACACACTAGGAATTCCTTACACTGATAAAGGAAGGAAGGAAGGAAAACCTGCTTCTTCTCCATCCCTACCACCAATTTCTGTTCTCTAAATTTGGATTTTTTAAACTTAATTTTGTAGAGAGGCATCTGGCATGTTGAATGGATTCCCTGAGGGAGGATACAAGCAAAAGTTACACAAGACAGGCAGGCATGGGTAGGTTTTAATTTGTACCATTGAAGGAAATTCCTTAATTCACAAAATCTAAGATTTATTTACAGTATTTTAAAATTTTCTAAAATGGAGCATACTGTGTGTTGCTTCATAATTGCTAATAATTATTGTAATTGAGAAAGAATAATAAAATTCCAATTTTCCCTGCTTAGAAGGACAATATATATATATGCATATGCATATATATTATCAATAATGTAATTTAAGAGATTTTGGATTTCTTGGTGTCATTCTCTCCTTGGCTAGGAATGCCTTTGATTGGTAATAAACAAAGCATGATAGTAAATAGACACACACTTTTATTTGAATTTCTATTCCTATGATTTTCTAAGAAGAAATATTTGACCTGGAACGTTATCTGCTTCAGCTACATAATTCTTTGTCCTACATCTCGTCACTGAAACCTCTTGTATCTAAGAACGGAATTCCCTATTACATCAAAACTGTTGTGAAGGAATGCTTCTGTAGCCACAGGTATGGGATGATTCAGTTGGCCATTATGGTGAAAACACTTAGAGTTAAAGACTAGACCTTTTCTTGCTAAACTCTACTTTGGGCCACTGCACACTAAGATGGGAAACCGATTAACACAGAGGGAACACATATTAACACAGAGAGCACGTGAAGAGAGGGGTACAGACCTTCCTGACACAAGTAAAGCGAGTTTATCGATGGGTGTTTTGCCCTGCATGGCATAACAATGCTCCTTTTCCAATGAGACCACTTGGCAGCACAAAACAATCTTCCTGAAGACAGGCAATGTAATCCCCAGGGGCTGAAACAAAGAGTTGTAGAGCTCATAGAATTCTTTGTCAAAGGTGACACTGCGAACCTGGTAGGCCACGTGAACAAACTGCACGAAGCAGATGATGAACAGAATAAAGTTCCAGGAGAATATATCAGCGGCGCAGACGTCTACCCATGCCCAAACTGAGGAACAGAGGAAGCCTAATCCCAGCAAACTGAATACATAGAGGAGCCCAAAAAATCCACTCCCTCCCATGAAGCCAACTATGAATAAAATACTAGCAAGGTGATAAATGGACCCTTCTGCTTCTTGTTTCCAGGCTGTGCAGAGTGGATGTTCACCTAGCAAGTTCCACCATATGCTTGCATTTTCTCCCATGGCTGGCTGGGACTGGCTCTGTTTTGAAGGCTCTTAAGCAGATAAATGAGTCTTTTGCTGTGCCATCTTAGGCTAACTGGTCACTAGGCCAGGGACATCTCATACTTTGGGCTCACATGGATGACTTCAATCTCTATGGCAGTGAAAGCATTCGGGAAACCATCCAAACTCTCACTTTGGATTCAGTCTTTACATGGCATGATCTGTCCTGCCTAGGGGAGAAAAATATACAATTAACCAAGATGAAAAAAATCGAGAGATACATTGAAAGAATCATTAGAATAACTTAGACAAGTACACTCTTAGTTGCAAATATCTGCTTAGTGTCAACTAGTATACCTAAAATACAAATGTCTGGGGAATACTCAGGTAACGAGTCTGTTAAAAATTGATTTTTATAGTCAGAGGAACATGGTTAAAAATGGACTTTGTCACTTCTTTCATGTGTGACCTTGGTAAAGTAATACCATCTCCCTGGGCCCCAATCGCCTCATAAGGGAATTAGACTAGATCAATCAACCAGCAAACATTTATTAGGTACCTACTATATCCCAGTCACTATTCTGGCCATGGAGGGTTACAGACAAAAAGGAACTTATCTCCTACTGGGGGAGACAACATGTAAACTTAAGTGTGTGGATACCATAGAAAATAAATACAAAATTAAGTTGGAAGAGCAAAGCACTAGCAGCTGGTTGGTTGTTGTCCTTCGTTCTTGAGGAGGGCCAAAATGACATAACTATGTTGGGGTCAAGGTACAGTGTGTCCAACTTTGGCTGATCAGATCAATATGAGCTCGGAAGGCTCTGCCACAGGTCAGACACAAATAGTCCATACGGACTAGTCATAGTAGCTAGGAAGATCAAGAAAAAGAGTGATGACAGACGACCGAATGACACATGTGAAAAATAACAAGGTCAACTTGGCCAGAACGTAGAGTGCATGAAGGGAACTAACATGTGATAAACCTGGCAAGGCAGACTGTGGCCTGAATGCGAAGGGCTTTAAATTCAAAATGGAAATTTGCGTATGATCTTAGAGATAATAGGGAGCCACTGGAATTTATCGAGCAGGGAAGCAACATGGTCAAACCTTTGCTTTAAGAACAACACTGGTAGCTGTGTGGAGTCTGGATTATAGAAGAGAAACCAGTTAGTAGGGAGACCACTTAGGAAACTATGGTAACAGTTGATGGGAGAGATGAGTCCTGAGCCCGAACTAAGGTAGAGGCCATGTTAGTAGATAGAAGGGGACAGATAGGAGAACTGTTGTGGGGGCTGAATGGACAAGACTTACTTAGTGCCTGATTGGACGTGCAGAGAAAGGAGGACTGAGGAATTCAGGAAAACTCCAAAGTTGTGAACCTGGGTCACTGGAAGGATGATCATACCCTTGATGGAAATAGAAAAGTGAAGAATAAGAATAGGTTTAGAAGGAAATACTGACCTCCAATATTCATTCTAGCTCTAAATCTTTAATCGTTCCAGTCTAAGATATGCATGAGAAATTTAAATAACCTTTTGCTTTACTAATAACATGCTATGATATAAAAATTTGGCTTTTGAAAATATTTGTATATTTACACATGTCTCAAGAAACAAGAAAAATGAAAAGCACAGGAACACTGAAATAAGAGATAAAAAGAAATGTATAATTCTGATTTTTTTTGTTTGTTTTTTAGGCAATTAGGGTTAAGTGACTTGCCCAGGGTCACACAGCTAGTAAGTGTCAAGTATTTGCTCTAAGGCCGGATTTGAACTCAGGTCCTCCTGACTTCAGGGCCGGTGCTCTATCCACTGTGTCACCTAGCTGCCCCGAAATGTATAATTCTGAAAACAGTGATAATAGAACTATTAAGACATAACAAGATAATTAGATATTTTTTCAGTAAGGTATTATAAGGCTTCTTAATAAATCACTGAGAGCCATTGTAGACTACCCACACTAGTGACTAGATGGTGAGCCTTAGAGTCAGGAGGACCTGACTTCAAGTTCTGCCTCTGATCCATACTAATTATGTGACCCTGAGCAAGTAATTTAACCTCTTAGCACTCCCATGTAGCTCTCTAGACACAAACTAGCTGCCAGACTGCATAAGTAGACTCTCTCACTGTCCTCCAACCCCACTCCCATTAATAAATCAATGGATGGAAAAATAATTTGAACATGAGCCAAATTTCAAGAAATTTGAGAAAAACAATTCCATCTTAGCTTAATGTATCAGAGGTTATTTCAGGTTAAAAGCTGAGTTCATATAGATAAACAAATGCTATGAATACTCCTGGCTGCATGTACTGTATACTGATTTACCAGATGGTCAAAAATGTTACTACCAACACTGCTCTGTTACACATACATTCTCTTCCCTTTAGACCATATGGTAAAAGAACTCTTATTCTATGTGAGTCACACAGAATGAATTCCCAATGCTGTAGGAGCTGAAAGATCCACAGCCATTAATGGAGGCACTCAAATGCTCTGGACAACGATGGTGTCACTAGTCAAGCTCACTAGAAAGATGAGCTTGTTTTTCTTCCTATGATAACAAACTAAAGAAATGAACTTTGGGGCTATTTTTAGTAATTTTATTTTTAAAAGTCTATTAGCAGAGCTCCCGTTGATGAGATATCAAGTATCATGGCCTCGGTCCATGGAAAAACTACATAGAGAAGTGAAAGGACATGGTCAGAGGGAAAGGGGCAGCAGAGTCATCATCACTACCACAAATGGAGTTAGAAACTCCTGTCCCTAACTCCTCAGCTACTGACTCCTTCCTGGAGGAGAGGGATAATTTCTGAAATAAGTCCTTATGGACTCCATGATTATTTGTGATGAAGGCATGACATTCAAGATATGGAGAGAACTAACAAATAGGTAAGAGTAACTCCTCAAACAATAAGTGGTCCATTGGATTTGTCAACATGAACAAACTCTTCTCCAGTGAAGAACTGGAAACTCCTCACAACCATTTGAAAGATTGCTCCAAAGTCAATGATGATAATGAAAATTAAAGTAAATCTGAAGGCTTACCCTATGCTCAGTAAATTGGCAAAGATGACAAAAGACAGAGATGATTCATGTTGGGGAGACTATGGGAAGACAAGTATGCTGCTTTTTCTGTTGGGTTCTACTCCTGTAATCTTGGACAAGTCACTTAACTTCTATATACTATATATATATGTATACTATATACATATATACTATATACATGTATACTATATACATGAATGCCAGGTTAAAAACTCCTAGAGATGAACTCTAAGGGCCCTTCAAGTACTCTGATCCTATGATACAGAGTTGGTGGAGCTGTGAATTGGTCCGCCTATGCTGGTAAACAATTTGGAACTATATAGGGGGGAAAGTGACTAAAATATCTATACTCTTTGACCCAGAGATTCCACTACTGACTACATATCTCAGAGATCAAAGATAGAAAGCAAGGTCCCACATACATCAAAATAATCATAGCAACACTTTTTGTGGAGCAAAGAACTAGAAATAAGGTAGTGGCCTGATGAATTATGATACATGAATATAAAGGAATATTATTGTACCATAAAAAATAATGAACATGAGGAATTCAGAGAAATATGGGAAGACATAGGAACTAAAATAATAAACAGAAGTTGCAAAACATTATATACAATGAAAACATTAAAAAAATTGAATGTTATGTAATTATAATAACTAAGATTGACTATGGAGAAGAGATGAGAAAGTACATGTCCCCCTTTTGTTGAAGAGGGGAAGACTATAGGTGTGAAATATAATATATATGGTCAGGTATGTTTAATATGTTGGTTTTTCAGGACAGGCATTTTTGTTTTGTTTTCTTTTGAATCTTTATTACCAGGGAAGTCTTGGGTAATTAGAGAAAGGTTTATGAAAAGATTGTGGAGTAAAAGCCACGAGGACCTCAATGATCAGTTCTCCACCTTGCGGCTACTAATGTGATTGTGAGATATGGAATCTGTAGTACTGTCCTATTAGGAAGCTGGACTAATTTTAAACTTGGAGTGATAGACTGCTACATCTGGAAGGGCTGTTAGAAATCAAGCCCAAACTGACCATCTCTTCCATAAGTCCCCTTCTCTTTACTCACATAGCCAACACCCTACTTCAGGTCCTCATCATTTCATACCTAGAAAGCGGTTCTCAAAGAGCAGTTTAGGGACCCTCATGGGTATCAGAGACCTTTTCAGGTGGTCCCAGAGATCCTTTTAGGTGGTCCATGAAGTCAAAACTACTTTCATAATAACAATAAGATACTTTAATATCTAATACAATAAATATGTAATCCACACAAACAAATGTTTTTTAGGGGGATCCTCAATAATGTTTTAAGAGTGTAATGGGGTCCTAAGATCAAAAAGTTTAAGAACCACTGGCCTAGACTATTGCAATAATTTTTTGCTTGGTCTCCCTCCCTCAAGGTCCTCTCCATGTGAATCCATCCCCCACACAGCTGCAAACATGATTGCAGGTCTGACCTGGTATGTCACATACTCACACATTCCCCCTTTACTAGTTAAAGTCAGTGGCTCTTTACCACCTCTAGAGTCAAATATAAATTCCTCTGTTTTGCATTTAAAACTCTTTATGTCTAACCTTATTATATATTACATACCCATCCATGAACACTATGGTCCAGCCAAACTATTTTGTTGTTCATTGTTCACCATCAATTTTAGTCGTATCTAACTCTTCATGACCCCATTTCGGGTTTTCTTGGCAAAGATACTGGGGTAATTTGCCATTTCCTTCTCCAATTCATTTTACAGATGAGGAACTGAGGCAAACACAGTTAAGTGACTTGCCCAGGGTCACACAGATAATACATGTCAGAGACCAGATTTGAGCTCAGGAAGATTCATCTTCCTTATTCCAAGCCCAGGGCTCTATCCACGGCATCACCTTGCTGCCAAACCATGTGTTCTCTGTGCCATTTCTGTGTCTCCACACTAGCCTATGCCTAGAATAGTCTCCTTCCTTCCCTCTGCTTCTTATAATCCCTGGTTTCCTTCAAGACTCAGCATAAGAGCTACCTTTTGCCTTAGGTTCTTCCATGTTCCCCAGCTGCTAGTGCCTCTGCTTTGTATATGTCTTTTACGTACATATACATGTAATATGTGTACACATATTATGCAGGTTGTCTCCTTGATTAGAATATAAGCCCTTTGAGGTCAGGGACCATATCTGCCTTTGTATATCCAGGCACAGTGCCCGACTCATCATGGGCATTTAATAATATTTGTGGATTGATTAATTTTATTGAAGAAGAAACTGAAATCCAGAAAGCTCAAATAATATATCCAAGGTCACAGATGATATATAAGTAGTTGAGTTGGGATTTGAACTGTGAATCCAGTGTTCTTTACCCTACATTTTTGCCAGGTCAGGTGATTAGCATCATAAAGGGGGAAAATGGTTCTCATCATTGCAGTATTCTAGAGAGATAACAGTATTGGAAGAGGATCTAACCAGACACTGAGTGTTGTGAGCGTTACTCCAGTGATGTCCCTTAAAATCATCCCATCTTTTCCATTGTTACTGCCCTCACCCGCGTTTAGGCCTTCATTGCTGGACTAGGACAATAGTCCTTTCCATTTCTCCAATATCCAGCCTCTTCTGCATCCAGTCCATCATATTTGTGAATCAATCTTCCTAATGCTCAGGTCTAATCACATTATTCTACTTCTCAAAAACAAACAAATGGTTCCTAGTACTTCCTGAATAAAATCCAGTTTCCTCTGTCTGCCATTTAAAAATCTTTACAATTAAGCTCCAATTTACTTTCCACATACCCTGTGCTCTAGCATATTTGCTGTCCCTAAACTGACCCTTTCACTTTTTGGCATCTGGGTCCTTGCCTACTTCATTCGCTTTGCCATATATAAATAGTTGAGTTGGGATTTGAACTGTGGATCCAGTGTTCTTTACCCTTCCCTACTCTCCTCCATATCTTCCAGTTGACATTTTACCCATATTTCTATGCCCCCCTCATCTAGGATAGCTTCTTATGGCGATTGTCCCAGCCTCCCTGCTATGAATTTTTTGGACATTTTAATTATGTTGTTTTCAGTTGTGTCTGATTCTTTGTGACCCCATTTGGGGTTTTCTTGGCAAAGACATTGGAGTGTTTGCCACCAAGGAAATGGTTTGTAGCTTATTTTACAGATGAAGAAACTGAGGCAAACAGACTTAACTGACTTGTCCAGGGTCACACAACTAGTAAGTCTCTGAAGCCGAATTTGAATTCAAGAAGATGAATCTTCTCAACTCTAGGCCCAGAACTATATCAACTGCACCATTTTAATTGTATTTCATGTATACTCATAGTCTTTGTATTTCGTCATTTGTCAATCTAATTCTCCATCCCCATCCCCAACAA